TAAAATTACTGCTATCGAATTCAATTATAAGATAAGCAGTACTGTAAGTTGTGACATACACATAATAAATCGTGAATCGTACTTTTTATAATAGCTTATACGTGCACAGTAAACCACTTAAGCATTCGTGTGTAATGAAGTAAAATATTTGCGGACCATTTTTTGAAAGAACGATTCAGTTACGATCTATAATTCTTTCCAGACATGTTTCTCTTTAACTGCAATAAGTAAAATATGGTGCGGTAATGACCGAGAAAATTAATTTTCATATACCCTATATGTTGGAGGTATCAAGGGGGTATCGCGTCGTTCCCTTGATCTTCCTGGTCGCGTGGTTTCCACCCGAAATAATTCGTCTTCGCGGTTGTAAGGCGCGAAGATATCCCGATGTGAATGGACGGTTCGACGCGACACGGTATCTCGTCGACTTAACGAGGAGATACGAAAATCGTCTCGTGTTAGAAGAGAACCGTCGTCTCTGACGTGTCGAAAGGAAGAAGTTTAGAAAGAACCGGTGTGTTCGATGTTTCGAGAGGAAGTGTCTTCGAGAGAACCCGTGTCTCTCGGATCTCGTACGGAACTGAGCTCCTCGATCTTCCTAAGATCGGCCTTAGGAAAAATCGGGAGCTCGCCAAATATGATTGGCTGTTTTTGACCAAGGGCGTTCCCTTGGTTCGCGAATCGGTGACCTTGGAGAAAGGGAAGGTTCCCCCAAAAAGCAACGATAGCGGAGGAAACCCTCTGCTCCAAGGTGGGGTACCTGGGGTCCACCCGCGCGCTGGTGACCCCATCGGTCGTTTGTTACCCCTAGCGAGGGCCTGAGGCTTCCAACGTGTGCGGACCACGTGGAGCCCTCAGGCCTATTGTCAGCCAAGTCTTAAGAGCCGTCGCCTAATTTCGTTAAATTAGGGATTTCCAGGATTCTCGTGTTCCGCGACACGAGAAGTCAAAGAAAAAAGGTAAAGCATTCAGACATGCTGAAGGCATGGAGCGGAAAATTCCGATGCCGAATTGTTCGACCCTAAGACCTGGCTGTTGGAAGACCGTAACGGGTCTTCTTTGTTCCACGACGGAACACTATACATGCAAAACGTTGCATTTTCGCTGAAAAAATATTCATTACTGTTAGTGGTGGATGAAATATCGTAACAATAAGAACAATTCTTTATTTAATTACAAAGAATGATCGAACACAAATATGAAGATTAAATATAATTAATTGATCTTAACAATCACATGCTCACACCTATTTTCACTATTAAAACTCAATTGCAACTGACCAAATCACTCTCGTTTTGTTCTTTCTTCTTTCATACAATACATGAACATACACAATTCACATACACCTCAATCATTACACGTATACTCATTTATCACAATAATCTTAATCCGTTAGATATTGCCATCCTATGCACACTTGTTCCACTCATCCCTTTCTTACAGTCATCGCTCCTTTATTATGTCAACACATATATGTAGGATCGGGGTGGCCTGTTAGTAACGTAATGTAGTAACGTTGCTTTACTACCTTTCCAAATACAATAAACTTATACTTATATTATCGGCTACGAAACTAGAGACCCGCTACAGGTACGCTCGACTTTTACTTCTTAGACACTATCTTGAGGACCGTGAAGGACTTGGTCCTGCCCGCGCCCTTGCACCCTTATTTAAGCATTCACTCTGTCCTCATCTATACCCACGTTCTCTCTTCTCAATCGGTCGGTCACGTATTCTAAACAGTCAGGCGCGTTCATAAACTTTCACCCGTTTATCGCATTCGGCTCTATTATAAACATCCTTTACATTCGATCCTCTTACACGCGGTCTCTTTCGTTCTAAGCCCAAACACACTTAACATTCTTCCAGGACCGTTCTTATTCCAATCCCACATATATATTTATAATCTATGTAACCATTACCACAATTACTACCTTCCAAATAGCGGAATATTATATGTTTTAAGTTGTGCGTATATATTATGTCGAAAATGACACGAAATCGAGTAAATTTCAAAATTTCAACTCGAATGTGGCACGAATTTCCGCTATTCGATAATAGTTAACTTTACGCACGCCATTTTTATCAAATGATCAATAATTTAAGGAAGTAAAACCAAAAAAAGTCGAGAATTTTGAACTGTATAGCTAATGATCACTCCAGTTCATATGTGTGAAAGAAATTTGGTTGATTTCTCGAATGACTAAGTGTGAGAAGGACTGTTTCTAATGAACGACGTAGATTGAGATTCGAAAATGGTTAATAAAGAACTGACAAAATACTGTATCTAATCATCACGAAAGACAGACACTTAAATTTTCTGCTGAATTATTCACAGAAAATCGGTAATCGGCAAAAGGATAGACATTTTCCTGTTTGGCAGTCGGTTTACATAAGACGTTTCTTTCTTTCGGTAATTGATCGCTCTGAAACAAAGGGGACATCCTCCAAACAACGTCAGTGGTGGAAAAAATACCTCTGAAGTGGGTCGCAATAAGTATGTCGGCGCTCGTCGCGGCCGTCGGGACAATAATCGCGGGTCGTAGTAGGTTTCAAACTGCCCGTAGTTCTCCGACTTAGGAGCTTTTAAAGCGGCCGAGTGTTCACGGAAGGGGTAGAAAAAACACCGCCAACCTGCATGCGGGAAAAACTAAGTTTTCGCGGGAAAGGTTTACGCGGGAACCGCCCTCGCGCGGGAAAGTCGTGATGACCGCCCAAAGAGGTCGTAAATTAAGACGACCGTTGGTCTGCAACATCGCTGCCCGGTCCCAGGCTAATCCCCGGCATGACATTGACGATAGCCAATGCCATCCGCGGGACAATGCCTGTTGACCTGCAGCGACTGCTGGTATGTTGCGTGGACGTACCCGGTGCACCCTCGACCCTAATGTCCCTGTTCCTTTTGCATGGACGTAGTGGCGGAATCTTAGCCGCCACACCTCTTTCAGGGTGAGATGCACGGAGTTTACGTACACGCGTGTGATCCACATGTTGGTGACAAATTTCAACAGATTGTTACATTTTCTGGGGATTTGTGATCCATTCGTAGCTGGAGCCTTGTAGAAACCTGCGTGCACAGTCTGATCTTGGTCACAGCCGAGTCGTAACTGTCATCCGCTAATATTAATTAGAATAATTAGACAATTATTGAAGGAATATAGGAAATTAGACAATGAACTGTCCTATCTGATCAAATTCCATATAATAAAACGAAGGAAGAAGTGTAGGAATGGGTACAGTGGGAACAAAGCGTCCCTTTTACTTAATAATATTCATTATATTAATTAAAATCTAGCTCTCTACGCTACTCGCAATTCTCACGACTAACTCTCACTAGGAACTCTTAACACGTTAACACTTTAACTGCCACGTTAGTCATATATGACCAGCCACGGTTTCTCCTGTGACGCTACGGTGGTCATTGGTGATCGGAGCGCTTGAACTATTTAAACTACATTGAACAACATTGAATAAAAATTGGCAGTTAGTACATTTTGAATATAACCGCTAATTAGAAGATACTTTGAAATAAAAAGTGACCCATTGAACTGTGGTGGTTCGCACTGCGCATGCCGGCGCTCATCGCGGCGGCCGGGACAATAATCTCGGCGTCGTAGAAGGACGCGAACTGATTCTGGGTCCTCTGTCTTAGGAGCTTTTAAAGCTACCGAGTGTGTACGGAAAGGGTGGAAAAGAACCGCCAACCCACGCGCGGGAAAAACTATGTTTCCGCGGGAACCGTTTGCGCGGGAAAGTCGCGATGACTGCAAAGGGGGGTCGTAAATCAAGCGAGACGTTGGTCTGCAACATCACTGCCCGGTCCCAAACTAATCCCCGGCATGACATTGACGATAGCCAATGCCATCCCGGGGACAATGCCTGCTGGCCTGCAGTGACTGCTGGCACGTTTCGGAGACACACCCGGTACATACTCGGCCCTAATTTAACTGCACCTTTGGCATAGGCTTAGTGGTGGAATCTTCGCCGCTACAGAACTATTAAAAATTTTTATTAGAGCATCAAAGAAATATTAGAACAAATCTCGCATCTAGCGGTACTCTCCCGTGGCATCCTGAGAGAAGCATGTGATTTCGACGTAACAGTTGTCACGGAACTAGCTTAGACACGCGAGTGAAAATAGTTCACGAAGGCTTTTACGCGAGATACTCTCCGTATAGAAAAGAGAACGTGTATAGGTTTAGAGTTAGACTGACTTTATTCTGGTTTTGGGTTGGGATATATATATATTCTTATTATCTTGTCCTGGATGGTTTGGAAGGGGTTGGATTTTGGAATTTGGGGTTAGGAGTTTCGATCGTCTGGTGATTCATGTAGGCTGATGTCACAGGGTTGCGTCTTGGATTTTGGAAGTCTAGTCATATCGATGATTCAGGTCGGCTGTCGTCACTCAGTCAATGTAAAACCATGTCGGTTTTACGTGCAGTTCCGTTCACGCCACAGTTAGCCATTATGCAGATCCTTCCGGGCCGCGCGGACTGGCGAGGCCTGAACGGATAGTCTAGCGCTCAAACCTAACCTAACCAGCGTGGCGTTTAACGTGTTAAACGACTCTCTTATGATACTTTCTTCAGACAATCTCGTACTAATCTCTTAACATCTATTTTTATACCCATACACACCACACACTGCCAAACGTGTAAAAATTCCACGTGCATTTTAGGAACTGATTAATTCTTCTCGCACTACTGATAATCTAGCTTAAACATCCTCTTGATCTACTATCGCACCGTTCCAAACACTCATCAATCGAGTTATCACTCGGTACACTCATCACTACCACTTCAACTTCAAAAACGAAACATCAAATGTTGAACTATTTAAGCACATCGGACTTGACCGTTGGAAGGCTAAGTCGTCTTCTTTATCCCCGTTCTGCAACGAAATTTATCTAGACTCTGACAAAGATATTAACGTATACGTCAAGCAGCATATTAATACTTTTAATAGCAATTTTAATTATTTTTTACTGACATTTTTAGGTGTTTAGACATGGCGACCGAACACCGACTAAAGAGGAGCTGTATCCTAAAGCAGAACACAATCCTATTTACGATACACTTGGTTATGGTCAGTTAACCGAGGTAAGTACGTATTTTATACCGATATGTTATAGATTTTAAACTTTTCCCTATGGCGGCTTTGGGGTAAGTGTTACGGACCCAATTTAGTGCTCAGTTCGCGTGGCAGGCACGTTGTTAGGTTGTAAGGCCAACTGTGCTGCAGACGGGCGTGAAGGACCAAATGGTTCGGCTGTCTTCCGCTCGGCTGTCCAATGCTTGGACGTTGCCACACGTTATGAGTTGTAGGTACCCGATTTGAATTTGTAGGGGATAGTCAATCCACGGGACTGATTATCCACAAAACTTGTGTATTGGTTGATGTAGTACTTGATGATGCAGACTGTCTGTGCAGACTGCTTGATTTGTACTGATGTACGTATGCTGATGTGTGCTGACCAACTGACTGTTGGAATGATACCTTCTGAATGCTTGTTGATAATGAACGGACTGACTGACTGATACTGACCTAACTAACTTTGCGATGCCTGATCTTTCGAAGCCCATGATTGCCAAAGGGAAATCGGTTTTCCCATTTGTGGTTGACAGGACCGAGGGTGGGCCCTCGGTCCGCGAATCAGATGCCCCCAAAGAAGGGAGGACCGTCTTCCGCGACCAGGTCTGCCGGTGGAGGAAGCCTCTCCCTCAAAGGGAGTTGCTGGTGGGCCACCTGCACATTCGTGATCCTTCCTGAAGGACCCGTTACTTTATGGCTCCGAAAGTCGCGACATCGCACATGGCCTGGTCCCTTTCTTTGCAGGCCTATTGTCAGCCAAATCCTAAGTGCTGTTGCCTGCTTTCTAACATTAATGGCTAAAGAATGCCTCGTGTCCGGTGACCCGAGGGAAATAAAGAATCGTTTGAAAATGCATTGAAAATGAAGATAGAAAGGACACGGAACTTGAACTAAAACAGCAATTAGAATCTGGCTGCCAGAAGACCCTAACGGTCTTCTGGGTCTATTCTAAACAAGGGCCGAACAAAATACCGGCACGACATTCCAAGGCTTAACAGAAGTCAAGGGACGCTGACATAAGGACATAAAACAGTCTTCCACTTGACCTGAGACATTGCGGTCCTAGGGCCGCAACACTGGTACATGTAAAATTTCAGGGCCTTCACATTTAGATATACAATCTGTCCTAAACAAAGGGATGAACGGAAACGATTTTTCAAGGATTAACATTCGCATTTAGATATATGACTTAATTCGCTGAGAGGACGGCGAGGTACGTCTAATCTTCGGCGAAACAGTCGTAATACAAAATAATATAGTCTTTAGAATTATCGAAAATTAAAGTAAGAGTTATGCTATGAACATGCTTTTCGGGAAGCGGAAATTACAATTTTATTACAATTGTATTGTAATCAAATCTACTATATCTATTACGAATAACTTTCTTTCATTTGTTTCTGTTTAGGCAGGAAAAATAAGAGAATTTCGCCTCGGAATGATGTTAAGACAACGGTATAGTACTTTCTTAGGTGGTAGTCATCACTATGGTGACGTTTTTGCCCGCAGTACGGACACCGATCGAACGAAGATGTCCTTGCAATTAGTTTTGGGTGGTATATATCCTCCAGGACTGAACGAATTGGGCCAATTGCAATTGTCTCCGATATCGATTCAATTCACGCCATTCATTGTAGACTCATTACTGTTTCCAGTATATTGCCCAACGTAAGTATGTAAAAGATTTTACATATACCATTATTTTTATTCGTATGCTTCTCACTGTGTGTTGCATATTAGGTTTCTGTAATATTTGCAAATAAATTACGTTATAAATAATTATAAATTATATTTGCATATATTTGAACCATGTACAAGTATGAAATCAATGAAATTCGATGGATTATACAACTTGAAGTGGAGAAACATACAATATTAATAATCAAATTATACAATTTATAGTAGAGATTATATTTTAAAAATTATATATTATTATACCAAGAATACATGTGATATACACACTAACAATAAGTATTCTTGAAACATTCTTATTATTATCAAGCATATGGAAAAAATAAATTAGAAGTTTGAAAACAAATTATTTAAATTAGTTTTCAATATCTTAAAGTTAACAAAGTTATCGCAAGATAAGACTTATGGTGAGACTTATATAATACTATAGTCCTTTTGAATATCTGTAAAACGAGTGTATAAATCGATATAACATATATTTAAAGGCAGGTATTAATATTTGAATTAGTGATACGAGTTTCAAAATCGAATAAAAGATTAAAGAGGAAATAAAAGAGTGATTCTATTAAATTTTTCTACTCTAATTGTTCTCCTGATTCTTCGTAAATTTTCTATATCTTCGAATTATTCTATTATCCAAAAATTCCATTATCTGAACACTTTTGTCTCCTTATCGGTTCAAATATGGGAGGCTCTACTGTGAAGAAACTCACCTATTTAATAATAGTAAATAATAGAAATTATCTTTATATCGAAAGAATTGTAAAACTTGAATCATTGTATAGTTGTATTAGACACCTCTTACTCCTTTCGATGAATATTATAAATTTTTAAAGCTTTAAACTCTGCTATTTTACCACCTTGCACAAGGTCACAATAATTTTAACCACTTGGAATTTCTACGCAATTTTCTAAACATATAACACAGATTTTTAAGATCATGGGACTCTCAAAGATTTTGAAATCATTGCTTTCTTAAACAACGTGTTGTATCCCATTATCTCCAGAAAAATGTACATGTATGAATATATAAAGAATTTCAAAAAATTAAAGAGCTTTTAAAATAATTTTTATTTCATTACGAGACAGACAAAGCAGTCTGTACACTGAAAAAATTCGCTTTGCAACATTGCAGTATTTCAAATCATTTTGAATTTATATTATTCTTTGGAATTACTAAAATAACATGTGATACGATCAATCAAGAAGCCAATCCTATGTCTTCGATTATTTGATGATAAAAATGTTACACTGATATAAGGTGATACTACGTTAAACACAACTTATATTTTAATTTTATTATTTTTTGATTGGATAGCAAATCTGATTATGTTATAATTATCGTCGAAATAGTTTAAACATTCATTGTTTCACTAGAAATAAATGTAGGATCGGTTTGGGTGAATGGGCTAAAATAGCGTTGTTTTACTTCTTAATAAGATACAATAAGCTTATACGTAGATTAACGGCTATGAAACAAGAGGTTATTCGCTATGGGTACGCACGACTTTGACTTCTTACCGACGCACTCTTAGACACTAGCTTAAGACTGTCGACTCTAGACCGTAGACCGTGGAGACTGTAGACTGGAGCTGCCCGCGCCCTTGCACTCTTATTTTAAGCATTCATTCTGTCCTTTTCCATACCCAGGCTTTCCTTCCCAATCATGCCCCTTTCCCATGCAATCTCCGTGGGCCAGGTACTTCAATCACTCTGGACGCATTCCTAAACTTTCGCTCGACCCTACCATAAACATTCTTTGCAGTTAATTCGCTTGCACATGGTCACTTTCATCCTAAACCCAAACACACTTGGCATTCTTTCAGGGTCGTACTTATTCCAATCCCACATAAAAGTAATACGTGTTATTTACAAATCTGTTGTCTAGTATGTAACTGAGCAAATGACAGAATACACAATTCATTATATTTCATAAATATAAATTTTTAATATATGAACTCTTTCTCTGCTTTTGAACGTATCAATTCCTAAAGTTGGTCCCACATCTTATAAGACAGTCTGTATTATCAAATCTTATTATTTATTATATTTATGATATAAAAGTTCATCTCCTTCTCGATCCATTCTCACGGCAAATGTAAAACAAAATATAAGACATCTTCGATACTGATAACTCGTATGCATAACATTCAAAATTCAATATATCATCAATCATACGATAAAACAAAAATTCTATTTTGTTTATTTACATTAATCTCGTGCTTATTCAAAGTATTACTTTGTCTGCAATTTTTATACATTTTGAAACATTTCTTGCAGGTACCAAACCGAATGGAAGAAAACGAGAGATTCATTTGCAGTTCATGTAATAAAAAAAAAATACAAAGATCTTCTCGATTATCTCGCTGAACACACCGGTCTAGACATGACAACGAGTCCAACTTTTGCGACTTATCAGCTGTATCACTATATAACGTCACAGGTATAACTAAAGTAATTTTATTTTATGTTCAGTTTCACAGATTTACTTTTGTAGATTAATACTAAAATTATTTATCAGTAATGTAATGACCGAGATATACATAATAATAATTATGGTACAATGAAAATGGATAGATATATAGGGAGAATTTTATTACTTTAATAGAAAATATTTAATTCTAATACTCTTTTATAATTTTCTACAATTTAACGAATACTTTCATACACATATATTTCCTATAATTTCACATAAAAGATTATTATACGACAAAATTCATTTTATACTTATGATTGACTTCGTTTTTATAAATAAATTTCAATGAATATCAAAAGGAATATTAATAACATTGTAGGGCAGTATAAATGTTACTCTTCCTGAATGGGCAACCAAAGATGTTCAAAGCAAAATAGAAAAAATTACAGCATTAGAATATATGCTACAATCACATACCAAGTTAATGAAACGACTAAATGGAGGGTTTTTAGTGAAGGAATTTATAAAAAATATGAATTTCAAAGGAAACACAACTCAGCCAAAGATCTATATATACAGCGGACATGAAATAAATATAGCAGCATTTGCCAAAGCACATGATTTTATTGAACCAATACTACCTGCCTATGGATCTGCAATAATAGTTGAAAAATTGCGAAGTAGCAATGGTAAAATATATATTCAAGTAAGTACCATTCATCTACTTGAAATAAAACTTTCCTTAAAACTTATTTAAATTTTCTCCTCTTCCTTTGGATAAAAAATTTCCTATACATCCCATATAAGATCTAATATTATGAACTTTGTTGATAGATGCTGCTTTGGACTGGTGTTACTGAGAAATTAATTACTTACGTAATTCCTAACTGTGGTATAATATGCTCATATGATAAATATATAAGACTTATGCAAGATGTAATTCCTTCTGATGAAGAATCAAACTGCTTATGGAATAATACATCAAAGGAACATCTACATATGTATTATAATGAGAAATTAAACTGAATTATAAAATAGAATACATATTTGAAATTTTACACCTCGAAATAAACGATGTACTATGAATATGGCGATTAATGACAAAAAATGGCTTAACTAAAAGTATTAATGCAAACTACTGTAAAAATAATTCATACGTTGAAACAATTTCATCATTCTCCTTAAAAATATATTCACATTCAATGTTCCATGAATTCTTTGATATTTATCAGACATTTTTCTAATTTTATTAACATATTTTCCATACTTGTATTTTACTTTAAATACAGTATTACTTTATAAATTAGAGTCCACTAGGTATATTTCAATCCTTACATATTTAAGATATAAGTATTCAAATATATATTTGCAGAATGCTACATGCATTTCTATGTTATACGTATGTACCTGCTGTACAGATAATATTATTTATTACACGAACTTTTAGTTAATATAATTACAAATTCTATTATAATTTTATTAGTTCTTATAGTTACATACTAATTTATAGTATTGGTATATAAGTTAATCTATAGTTAATTATACAATTAAATTAACCCTTTCCAAAAAATTAATTTAAACTTTGTTTACTATACTTTTACTGCCTACAAATATTATAAAACATATGGAGTGTAATTAACAACTATTATATTGAAAAAAACATACGATAAATACCCAAAATATATATTATGTTCAACATAGCAAACTACTTAATAATTAATTTGCACTAAATATATACGATATACTCGAATTATTCAAATGGCTTGATTAGAGACTGTTAATTGAGGAAATTTCATTATGTACAAGTATGATAGTTCTCATACTTTTCAATCAATGCAAAATTTGTCCCTTTGAGTTAAATTTTTTTCAAATGATGTTTTTCATACAGCTTCTTCTTACAAATATGTTACAGAATGAATATGATAATGCTATTATATTAATACACATTAATAGAAAATTCATTATAATTTCATAACATTATTTTTATATAAATAATCTAATGTATACTTCATACATACTACCACATATATTTAGCATATATATAATACACAAAATATTTAAACTTTTCAAAACATAATTGCTTTTAAAATTAAATTCATACAAGAATATGAAGGGTTCATTTTACCTGATCCCATATTGTAAATAAATAATAGATATGAAAAATATTTTAAAAAGTTGTAAATCAGAGACTAAACAATGAAACCAATCTACGAAAAAAAAGAACCTATTTACTACCGTTTACGCCTGTGGCAGCTAACTTTAGTAGCAGTAAAGTAAAAAATAGGGAAATACTTCGTTTGTCAACGATTACCAGAACATGAATTATACGAGCTTCTGTTCTAGGGTTTTTTTTTCAAATCCCATCAACAATCCTGGTTGGTAGAAAGCGCTGCAGCGTAATATTCCTTTTCCAGTTTATTCAACGTACATAAAAGCATTAGAACACGTGGAACACAATTTTCTTTTCTAAAAAGGTAATATAATATTTATAGTAAAATAATATAACTTTCAAAGTCTAAATCAAAAGGAATGTGATAATGCGAATAATTTTAGAGAAGATCTAGAAATTTAGATAAAAATCTTGAAATTTAAACAATTCCTTTCCAATTAAAAATTTTTTCAAAATTAAACTAATAACATTCTTACTGAAAATTAGTTATTTAAAAATGATTAAATGTTAATTATAACATATAATAATATTCAACTACTAAAGTTGGTCACCATGCTTTGTTCTTTTTTTCGAAATTTGTATTATGTGTAACGGATTTGATTCTCTCGTAAATGTTGGATTTTGCAACACGTGTACAAATGTCTTATAAAAGAACATAATTTTCTAATTGCATTGTGTACAAATTAAAAATTCTTTTATAAACTTGTAATAGATTATAAACCTAAAGTTTCTTAAATAAAATATATGTATTTGCTTAAATCGAAAATGTGCATTTGCTGTGAAGTAGATATGTAATTATGCAGCAATAAAAAGTTAAGTAATATAATTGTTGCTAAATACTTCAGTCTGTTAAAAATAGGGAGAATTGAAGGCATTACCAAAAATATCTGATATAATCATATGCCAGTATATATAAATGATCAAATGAGATGGAAAGTATAAACCAAAGTACATGGATATTAAAAGGTAACAAATATGAAAGATAAGCCCATTTCATTTATGCATGTTATCATAATTAAGCAACTGATAAAGTGAAAAAGGTTAAAGAAGGTATAATTTATATTTGAATCGATACATACAACAAATCAAATTAATATTCAGATACTTTAGAATTTTTACTCTATCATGGTGTAATTTTGTTTATAAGAAGAAATATTAACATTTTCCTATATATTTCATCAGTATGAGGTATCTAGTTAATAAATACATAAAAATTAATTGTATAAATGGTAATACTTATTATATTAAAGGTTTTAAGTGGAACAATGTTCGATATTAAAACCAAATTAATATTTGGACATTGTGATATACATAGTATTAAATATGAGCCATTATTTTTGCTCTGAGGTTTGTTTGTAACAATTATGAAGTGTATGAAGCATTCCAAGTTTCAGATTAGTTGTTCTTCGGTTTTCATCAAATTTAGTTGTGAATATTGGGACATAGACATAATATTTCATTTCACAAATGCTAACTTGTGAGTTTTCTTAATGCGAAAGCAAAATTGTACAAAGAAATTGATATAATGCTCAATATAAACAAAAGTATAGTCAATAACATTGCTAATACGAGAACAGAGAAAAAGTAACTCTTTAAATAATACAAAATTTATTAAAAGAAACTGGTTATAATAAAAGAACTATAAGAAAAAAGCTATATATAAATGAAAAGAATAGACCGAAGAGATTATATTTTGCTAAAGAGTTTATACAATATATGGTGAAATGATGTGATATTCTACAATGAGAGCAAATTTAACATTTTTGGTTCTGATTGACAAAGAATGATATGGAAAAAGAAAAACAAAGAATTTAAATCTAGAAATATAAGAGTACAGAGGTTGGGAGTGTAGTATGGGAATGCATTTTAACTTTTGGGACTTGAGAATTAGTTTTTATCAATAATATTATGGATAATAATATGTATTTAAATATTCTAAAACATAATTTAAAAAAAAGTGTACCAAAAATGGGAATTCAATCTACATTTCAATTTTATCAAGGCAACAATTTCAAAGCATGAATTATGCAAAAAAATTTACTTTATAATTGCCCAAAGTTATTGCAAATACCTCTATAGTTCCCAAACCTAAACTCTATTGGAAATGTGTAGAATGAACTCAAACGAAGAATTAGGAATACTTCAATAACATCAAAGGAATATTTAGAACAAAGATTAAAAGATGAATGGAACAACATAGACACAGATTATTTGAAAAAAATAATTTGTAGCATGTCTCAATGTTTAGGAGAGGTTATTTGACAAAAAGGATACTCTGCGAAATATTAAATTTGTTTAGAATGTAGTAGAAAATCAGAATTTTCTACAGTGTCTGAAAATGAATTTGACTTTAAAAGTAAACATTATTTTGTTTAAAACACATTTTGCAACTTACGCAAATAATTTTTATGCTTGTATTAACTAGATACCTTATATTAATGTAATATATAAAAAAATATTTATATCTATTGTTATGAATAAAATTATACTGTGATAAAGTAAAAATTTTAAAGTGACAGAATATTAATTTAATTCATTGTATATATAAAGGTTTCATGGTGAAGCTCATTTATTAAAAATGTGAGTGTTGCATTTGAGGATAAGTAATAATAATTTATTTATTATGCACAGTCTTTAAATCTTTAATGCAATAAATTAATCTTTGTTAATAATAGCAGTACCTACTATTTTAGATAAAATAGTTTCGTCACTTTTTCGATTTTTGTATGTTTTTAGTTAAAATGACTTAAATGCATTAGTACAAATAAGGCAGCTGAATCTAATTGTTACCATTAATGTTGTATTGGTCAATGTTATATTTAAGGAAAAACAAAATATTATATCAGTATGTGTGATAATAAATATAATGTTAATAGGCATATTTCTGTTGAAGAACATATTATAGAATAAAAAATTGTATCATTTAAAATTATTTCATGATAAAGATATACTTTGAGGTGTACTGTAATTATAGCCTGTGTTACAAAGTTTATATAGTTTTCTATCCAACTACCTACTCATAAAAGGAATAATGTAAAAGGATTGTTAAAAATTATCATTAGCTAAATATTGCATAAATAAAAATTTCATTGTTGCATATTTTATAGCTCTTTTAAATAAGCATTTCCACAAATAATTTTATATATTTATATTGAATAAGGTGAATAAGATTCTAAATAGATTCTGAAATTAAAAGATACATCAATTTACAAGTAAAAATTAAATAGAAATACTACATCCTTGAAAAGTATTGCATTAAAAGCAGCTAAATCTTAGCACTATCACATTTATCTGTTTTTTGTGATTAATTTTCTTTCCTTTTAAAATGGATCTTTATTAAAACTAAAAATTTTGCATGCAGATACATTGAAAAACAAATTATGTATGGCAGTGATTTTAATGCAGTGATTTTAATGTATAATAATTTTATGTTTCCATGATGAAATAATTTGTATTTAAAAAGTGAATAAAGTTTTGTTTTAAAAATATCATTAAAACATTTAAATGTTTATATCTCTTCACAGAGGAACAACATCAGTGTTTTTACTTCCCGAGGAGTAACATAAATTATTCGAAAAAATATTTTATCAAATATTCTGGCTAGTAAATATATAATTTGATTATTCTTTCTTATACTCTTGTAAAGAAAGATAATCATCTACAATACTAAAAAAAAAAATATTTTACAAATCTGAATTTTTTTAATTGAAACAAGTTTTTCCTAAATTCTGATTACTATAGCATCAGATTTGGAAAAAAATTGTATCGAGAATTGGTTTACCTAATTGTTATATAATCATTTTATTTCAGCCTTTTGGTCTTGAAATAGACTTTGGTTTACATTTTTGGTTACGTT